TCCGCCGAGGCACTTTGACATGGTCTGGGCCAGCCCGGTCTGCGCGGAGTACAGCCGAGCTCTGACGATGCGCCCTCGACAACTCGAGGAGGGCGACGCGCTGGTGCTCAGAGCCCTTGAGATCATGGCGCACTTTGACCCGCTCATGTGGGTCATCGAGAATCCGGCCACCGGGCTGCTGAAGACCCGACCGTTCATGGAGCGCCTGCCGTGGGTGGACTGCAAGTACGGGACTCCGTACAGGAAGCAGACCCGGCTGTGGACCAACATGCGCTGGAGGCCGAGCCGAGGGTTGTGCAGGAGCGGCTGCCGGTGCGATGCGTGGGAAGACGGGAGGCATCTGAGGGGCGCCCAAGGGGGGCCTCGACTCATGGGGGGCCAGCGCGAGAGGGTCAGAGGGCAGTCGCGCCAGCTGCTTTACAGCATTCCTACGGCGCTGTGCGAGGAGATTGCGAGCGCGGCCACGGCAGAGCTCGGGAAACCGAGGATCATTTTCTTATAAGAATTTCCTAAGGAGAGGCCGGGCTGGAGGCGATAAGATCCGTCTCGGACCTGGGAATAATGTCACTCCAGAGAGAGGCGCTCACCGGGCTGGAGGCAATAAGATCCGTCTCTCGGCGATGATCCGTCTCGGACCAGGATAGATTTTTTTATTCTCAGGAGAGGCGCTCACCGGGCTGGAGGCGATAAGATCCGGCTCGGACCTGGGAATAAAAGTCTTTTAAGTCGCCGGGCTGGAGGCAATAAGATCCGTCTCTCGGCGATGATCCGTCTCGGAGCAGGATAGATTTTTTTATTGTCAGGAGAGGCGCTCACCGGGCTGGAGGCGATAAGATCCGTCTCGGACCTGGGAATAAAGGTCTTTTAAGGAGAGGCGGTCACGAGAAGGATGCGTAGACATGAATATCATCATGACTGTTGGTGATGCAGAGGATGCACGATGATGGTTATCATCCATGATGATGACGATGATGATGACGATGATGACGATGATGATGACGACGATGATGATGATCACGATGACGATGATGACGACGAGGATGATGCTGATGATGACGACGATGATGATGATGATGATGAAACGCTTGTCATTATATCACATCATAATCATTGTCGTCCTTGCAGTGTCTTTTTTATATACGTTTCAAAGGTGGCGTTAGAGCCGATTGGAGATGCAGCGGGTGCGTAGTCATGATTATCATCATGACTGTTGGTGATGCAGAGGATGCACGATGATGGTTATCGTCCATGATGATGGTGATGATGACATGCTCATCATCACATCATCGTTGTGACCTGATTGGAGATGCAGAGGATGCGTAGACATGATTTCCTCCTGACTGTTGGTGATGCAGAGGATGCACGATGATGGTTATCATCGATGATGACAACGGTGATGATGACGATGACGAGGACGAGGACGATGCTGATGATGATGATGATGACCACCATCATCATCATCATCATCATCACGGTGCTCATCATGATCATCATCATCAGCCCCGTTAGAGCCGATTTGAGACGCAGAAGATGCGTGGACATAATCTGGTGATGCTGAGGATGCGTCATGATGATTATCATGTCAGTTCATCATCATCATCATCGTGATCATCATCATGATCATCATCATCAGTCCCGTTAGAGCCGATTTGAGATGCAGAAGATGCATGGACATGATTATCATGATGCCTGCTGGTGATGCTGAGGATGCGTCATGATGATTATCATGTCAGTTCATCATCATCATCATCATCATCGTGATCATCATCATGATCATCATCATCAGTCCCGTTAGAGCCGATTTGAGATGCAGAAGATGCGTGGACATGATTATCATGATGCCTGCTGGTGATGCTGAGGATGCGTCATGATGATTATCTGTCAGTTCAGCATCATCAGCATCATCATCAGCATAAAAGCGGTGCATTTTCACGCGAAAGCAAAGCAAAAATGCACCGCGCCCTGGCTACAATAGGGGACCCATCGCGGCCCCGACTTGCGGCCAGAAAGCTGGCTGGCTGATGAGCCACTACTGCAAACGCAACTGCACCGCACATGCTCCAAGCAGCAGCAGAATTGTAGGCACTTACAGCGGCGCATTTTCTTACCAGATTGTTGCAAAAATGCACCAAGCCAAGGAAAGAAAAAGATCGCTCCAGAATGGGCGCAGGTTCTGTGGAAGCGTGCCAATCAAAGCGCGTTATCACGATGACTGCTGGTGATGCTGAGGATGCGATCATCATCATCATCATCATCATCATCACGGCGCTCATCATGATCATCATCATCAGTCCCGTTAGAGCCGATTTGAGACGCAGAAGATGCGTGGACATAATCTGGTGATGCTGAGGATGCGTCATGATGATTATCATGTCAGTTCATCATCATCATCATCGTGATCATCGTCATGATCATCATCATCAGTCCCGTTAGAGCCGATTTGAGATGCAGAAGATGCATGGACATGATTATCATGATGCCTGCTGGTGATGCTGAGGATGCGTCATGATGATTATCATGTCAGTTCAGCATCATCAGCATCATCATCAGCAAAAAAGCGGTGCATTTTCACGCAAAAGCAAAGCAAAAATGCACCGCACCCTGGCTACATGAACCAGCGTCAAAAGTGCTTTGGGGTGTCCGACATTAGGACGTCCCGTAACGTTTTTTTCATGTTTTGTTCCCAGGTTTCGGAGTATCGTTAATTTTGAAGCGGCCCCGTTCATTTCAGCCATTCCCAAACGGCAGCCCTTAAATTATCTTAAATTTGATGGCTTTGGAACAACTTGCAAAATCGATTTCCTAGATCTCAGGCCTTTAACCTTTGAGCTGGGGAGAGCTTAGGATGAGTCCCCTTCTTTAAAAGTAAAAGGCTGAGGCTTTAGTTTTCAGTTTTCAGCAACCCCGAAACCACTGGACACTAAAGAGGACCCCAAACAATCGCATTAAAGAGCATCTGGGCCTCTTGTGGGCACCCCCCTTTGTGTGACTGTTTGCCCGCACTTTTTTGTACAGAAGTTATCTTAAATTTGATGGTTTGGGGACCACTTCAAGAAAACAATTTCCCAATTCTAGCTCAGAACCAGCCTCCAGCTCAACAGGAGCTACCAAGGCTTAGCAAGTTTAGCCTGAGCCCGAGCAAATCCAGAAAGCGAAGAAAGAAGCTCTGAGTTTTTTGGGCTTTTTGGGGGACCAAAAAACTTGCCACAATAGAGAACCCCTAAAACAGTCACAGGATTCTGAATTAGGATTTTTTTCTACAATAGCGAGTACTATTAAAAAAGGAGGTCCAACATTACTCTGGGATGTGGCATCGGCAACTGCCTTCTGCAGCTGCTCGGGATGATTGGCAGCTTCTGCACTGCTGCCAATACGGTGTCCAACTTGACCTGCGCCTGCAACCACAGCGCCGCAGGTATCTGGCGCATCTGGTAGGTTGAGCTGCCCTTGAAGCCGTGGAATCTTCCACAATTCTTGTAAGTTGGCCGTGGCTTTGTTCACCGTCACACAAAGTGCGCAGCGGGTTCGCGCCATCATTTTAATAAGTGCACCGCGCCACAGCGAGAGCAATACGACGCACCCAAAGTGCATGCGCCTGCCACGACATCGTCGCGCAAGCTCGAAAGTACCGCGCCTGCCACGAAATCTGCACGGACAGCTCTAAAGTGCTGCGCCTGCCATGCAATCTGCGCGAAAAGCTCTAAAGTGCTGCGCCTGTGACGAAAAAATCACGTTGCAGCGACATGCAACACGCTCAAAATACTGCGCCTGCCACGAAATCAAACTTTGACACTCTCGCGCTGCGCGCGGAAAGCGCCTGCCAAGCAGGACACCTCAAAACAACTACCCTGGCAATCCCACTGGCACGGCAACGGGAACACGAAGCCTTCCAAAACACTGCGCCTGCGCAGCGAAACGACACGTCGAGCTTTAAAAGCTACGATTCGCGCACAGGGCCAACGAAAACAGCGCATCACAAGTCATCAAACTCACGCGTTCTGCGCTTCCCCACTGGGAGAGCCATAGCGCAATCATACGAACGGCTGCGAACGGTTGCGAACGGTTGCGGACGGTTGCGGCGAACAAGGCTTCAATTCCAGACCCCCAAGATGAAACGAGAACCCTATGCTACGCATTCGGGAACCTGTAGGGGGGTCTTGGCCGCAAAGTGGAAATGAAGGATTTCTGGCCATGGGCCATCATATGGCAGCCACTTTCCCACCCCCGAGCTCCTCAACCTAGAACCATGTCTTGGCCACCAAAAAGCACGCAAAGAACATTGGCCTTGTAAGGACGTGCCCAAAACGCGCATAGCTAGCAACGGGATTGGTTTTCAATTAGTTACGGGAAATTGGCCAGTTCCTTCATGTACACATACCCCACGAACATGATGCACCGAAAAGACAACCAAACAAACTGCACGCAGCCCAGGCCTAGCAGCTGGAAGAAGCATCAGTATTCGCGCTGGCTCCAAGCCCTGGGAATGGCAGGCGCCTAAATGGGTCAGCTAGTGCGTGGCACTCAGCGCATCAATGCCCGACGCAGGAAGAGCGGAAGAGCTGCTGAAACAACGGCACATGTCTTGGCTGTGGACTTGCGCTAAATCAAACAACTGCTGCGTGAGACTGCTCCTGATTGATGAGTTCACAACTGGCAGCAGGTGACTGTTGGATTGCCAGCTCACACTTGCGACGCGTTGCTGAGTGCAGTTTTTTTGGGCCAAAGGCCGGAACACCAGCAGATTGGAAGTCCTTCTGACACTTGAAGCCTGAAACCAGTCACCGTGAGCCACTGTGCCCACACCAATCGTCACTTGCCCGCAAAGCGCAGTCTTACCAGCAGTGTACCGCGGCAGCTTTGGAGAAGCAAGCGCTCACCACTGCGACTTTCAATCATCACTCGCCCAGCTCGCCTTTTTGCAAGAGTTGCCAAACTGTCTCAACTCATGGCTTGGTGCTCAGAAGGCACCAGGCATCTTCGGGCGTTGAGGGTGTGAGACATCAACATTGAGGCAGACACAGCTCCTTGTCAATCCCAAAAATGCGTCTCCCGACCATCTGACATGGCACCTGTGGCCCCGAAACAAGCCAGACCAATAGAAATCCGCTGCGAGGCAAGTTACCAATCTTGCCTCTTTGCGCTTCTCTCTTGTCCAGCTTCTGGCAAGCCCTGAAAAAACCACTGCCATATTTAGGCACATAGTGAATTGCTGAACCCTTCGCATGCAAGCCCTCAGTCTCGCCGTCAAAAAGTGAATCCGGGCTGCACAAGATCAGTTTGCACAGTCGATGGAAGCAAGAACACATAGCCTGCATCTCACCTGCAACATGAAGCACACAAGCAAGCAAGCAAGCAAGCAAGCAAGCAAGCAAGCAAGCAAGCAAGCAAGCAAGCAAGCAAGCAAGCAAGCAAGCAAGCAAGCAAGCAAGCAAGCAAGCAAGCAAAAAAACCCAAACAAAAAAAGCAAGACAAACAATCAAAAAACAAAAAACAAGCAAACCAAAAACCAAAACAAACAAACAAACAAACAAACAAACAAGCAAGCAAGCAAGCAAGCAAACCAAACAACAAAGAAACAACTAAACAAGTAAACATTCATACTTTCCAAACTAACCAGAACAGAGCAAAACAAATCAAAAACACATTCATAAATATGCACTCACCGCCATACCCTGCCTAGTTGAGTCAGCGAATTTGATATCAGGCTGCCGGAGCAGAAGATATCAGCTGCGAGGTCAAATTACCAATCTTCCCTCTGCGCCTCTCTGTCCGGCTTCTCACCTGCATAGCCACTCATAGTCAATGTTCCTTCAGGTTCCTTCAGTTTCCTTCAGCTCTCAGTCATCCGTGGCGCTTAGTTGGGCTGGCGCCAGTCGCAATGGCTCCAACGACGACGCAATCTCCGCGCGCGCCTGAGCCGTGGCAACGCTGGGCGGGTGTCAAGATACAAACAAGCGTCGGTTTTGGTGACGGAAAGTAGACAACGCAAGACAGTAATTTAATCTGGGTGGAACACTTTCAGACAGTTGTCGCGCCGTTCTGGTTGTGTCCGTTCGCAGTGTTGGCTGCTGGCTCGTTGAAAGGCACATCCCAGCCAACAAATTCATACTTATGCCGCACTTATGCCAGTATCCTTAAAACCCCATAAACATGTCTAACGCAAGAGCGACTTCATGACGACTGCGCAATAAAAAAAAGTGTTTGCCAAAGCGCAGAGAACGCAACATGATGGGGTGGGCGCCTCGACGCAGAAGACAACTGGCCCATGCTGAGTCACGCAGGATTATGTTTCCCTCTTCTTTTCAGGCGGACTCATCGTTTCCCTCTTCCTCGGCCTATTTTTCAATGTATGTTCTTCTTCCTCTTCTTCCTTTCACTTTTCTTGTTTGTCTTCTTCTTCTTCTCCTTTTCGCTTTGTTGCCTTGTGTCTTGTTAAGTGTGCTATCTTCGTGTTATTGTGCTTCTTTCTTTCCTTCTTTTTATCCTCCCCCATCTTTACGAAAAAGGTCGCTGTAGTCTGCTTGATTTGGTCCAAACAAAAACAAACGCATCATTCCACAATGCGTTCCCCCCGCCTTCGACGGCAAGCGGTCGGCTCCAGTATCTCCTGTATTTTACTGCTAATGTCCCATGTGTGGCTGTTGCCCAGAGCTTTGTGAGTGGAGTCTGCCACCATCAGCGCCTGACTCGAGGCGGGCTGAATCATCACAAACGCACACAAAACAAAAAGAAAGTGGTCTTGGGTAAGTGAGAGGCTGAGAGGCAAGTATGAAGGTTGTTGTTTCTACAGGTCATTCAAAGCTGACCACAACTCCCCACCACCGTGCCCCCCAGCCCGAACGGATTGGCGCCTTCCACATCGCCACCAGAGACGCCCGGCTGTGCCAGCCGGCGTCCCACTGCAAGAAACGGTTGTTCAAGCTTTTGTCCGAATGCGACATCGCACATAGCAGCTGCGCGTCCAGGCGATGGCGCAGGCATCCCGCCACTCGAGCCGTCAGCCGGCAGCCGTCAGCCAGTCCCAGTCACGGGAAAGGGCGCCTGCGTCCGGGGAGGAAGCGAACTGTTGCGCCGGCACCCTCCAACTGGCTGGCCAGGGCAGAGATGAAGTCCATGCCCTGGCTCCAGCCCACCAGTCCCAAAGACTCGCCTCAGGCTCAAGAGAGAGCAATGCTATGACAAGAGACGTGCATTGACTGGCAACAACTCTGAGTGAAAAAAAGGTTGGACCTGCAAGGCACCTACATGAGGTGCCTTTGCACCTGCGCCAATAGCTGTGTGTGCGTCGAGTAGGCGGAGTGCTCCACCAATGCAGTGGTGCTCACGGTGCTGTGCTGGGCGCTGAAGAGATGTCCAAACGCCCTCCATTCGCATTCCAAGCTGTCCTGCAGACCAAGAGAGTTGCATGCAGGTTCTCAACCTGCCGCACTCACAAACATCACTATGTTGGGTCAAATCTTGCAGGAAGCTGGGTTCGGAAATGGATTCAGTTGCATCCCTTCAAAAACTGGAATTGGTAGAACAATTGCCCCAAACACCATCAGGCAAGCTGTCAGCCCTGCCCTCCTACGTCCTTGTGAAGCCCGGTAAATGCCACCGTTGACAGCTGCTTGCACACTGGATGGGGAAGTGTTGTGCACTGAACCATGTTGGCGTAATCATGTGGTCTCCCCAAACACATTGAGAATTCAGGGCGCCGTGAGCGAACTCTTCTTAGGACTCCTAACGCGGAACAATCAGCTCCGCGCTTATTGGCGCACATGACAGGATTGAGACGGGCATCTTAGTGGCAAAGGCTCTTGCTACCCTTGGACATTTGACCATTCTCTGTTGTCCAGCTGGCAAATGCCAACATCGCTGTCCGCCACTCAGTCCCGCGAAAGGCCGTCAGTCAGACCTCTTTTCAAGAAAGTTTCCCAGAACGCCCTCACATCCCTCACCATGCACTGGAAAGGCCTCCGGCCATGGAAGCACTGTGCCACGTAGCCAGCAAAACGCGACACTCCACTCTGCAAGTTGGCTGAACGAGGAAAGGAAAACGCGGCTTAATAGCGTGTGAAGCGACTCGCGAAAAGAGGCCAAGGTGTTGGTCAGCGTTTTGCCACGGTCTTGAGTCATTTAGATTGAGATAAGCATTATTTCAAGCGCGCAGGGGCGCGCTGTTGATGAATTCGGAATTTGGCAAGGGAAAAGCCTGCTAGGCACCGAAGCAAAATTGAACTGACAGACAACAGGCTTGCAAAATCAGGGACTTGCCCCTTTGTGCGCAGCCTACAAACACAAAGTGGAGACAACAAAGGGGAAGCAGGCGGCATCTTGCCTATGGCTTTGCTCAATGGGATGTCGTCACCTGGGGCCCGTATCCCAGTCGATGTGTTCACACAGCCGGCCGTGAAAGCGCAAAGCCGCCGGCATCCACGGGGACCACGGCAGCGTTGGGACGCTGCGGGCAAGCAAAGTATGTCTCATACAACCTCATGTTGGCCATGAAAAGTGTGGTGAACTTGTCATCATAAGTTCACGCTATTCTGAATGGAAGCTGTCCAGACTTGCCCTGCACAGTAAACTTCGTTGTTGGGGCATGAGCACTCCGACACGCAACACGTCTTCTCGTACGCTTGTGACGCCGTTGTGGCAGTAGGCAACTTGCAACCGACTTTGGCGTGCAGGCAAACAAATTGCCATGCACCCTTGGCTGCTCCAAGCTACGCAACGCAAAGCACAGGCAACGCATGGCTTGCCTCTAAAGAACACGGCGCAACAGGTGAACATTGCAAGTGATTAATAGCCTGAAAACCTGCGACGGAGAACTCAGGACGCGCTGAGGATAGGACGCGAGCTGAAAGAGGGCACAAAGTGGGAGGCCGGCTGGCAGCAGCGCTGGCAGTACATGAGTCAAGCCAGGCCGAGCGCACACTTTGTTCCAGATCATGACAGAGGCCCCGGCACATCAGCGTCAAGGCACGCCAACTCTTTGGCAATTTTGATACACTATCAACGTCAAGGCATACCGACTTTTCGGCGAGTCTTGACACGTGAATGGAGGACGGGATGCGGTTTGAGACCTCAGCTTATGGTCAGGCGCTGGTAAATCCGACACTCTGTCAGGTATCGCAGGCTCCTGCCAAACGAGGTAACAGCACCTTGGCTCAGCTCACAGACTCAGCACTTGCACGCCCGCACGCATACCGGACAGTGAAGCTGTCTGGCAAGCTGCTTTGGCTGCTTTGGCTGCTTCGGCTGCATCGGCTGCGGCCGCTCATGGGGCTTGAAAGCACGGAGCTTGAAGGCGCGGTTCAGGTTCAGCTTTGTGGCTAGGAGGGCCAGCTACACTTCCAGCTCGAAGTCGGCTGCAACGCCGCGCGAGATCGCCATGTCCGGGCATTGAAGGGATCGAAGCATCCCACAATCCGTGGGCCGATGTTTATTGATTCCTAAAAAAATGCCAAATCTACGGGATGAATTCACGCCACGCTCAAGACAACGTGCAATGGAGCAACCGTTGCCTTGTCTCCATGGGAATGAGACACTGCAAATGACATCACACCAGCACAGCTTCACTGGGGTCAAAGGAGGGTCTTGGCACTTGGCTTGGTTGGGTCCATCACACCTGAAATGAGATCGCACAGCCCCTGACTCAGCCAGAAAATCACTTCTCACTCTTGGCTGCGTTGGCATTCACACTCGCCGCTATGGCTTCACTGTCCCACTGTCCGCTGTATAGGCCCGACAGTGCGTAAGAGGCCATTGTGAAAACCGGTTCAGGACGTGGCATTGCTTCCCCCCCAATGTTGCAAGTTGCCCTGTTCCTGTGTTTGTTGGTCCTGCTATGTTAGGGCGTGTTATTCAAGATGATCAAGTGTGGTTTCTCATCATTGCTCCTGATCCGTCTGTAATTTAGAGGGACTTGTCCAATCGGAAAGGCAAAGCTAGCACGGTCACTCGTTCGTGCACCATGTGAGCATCAAGCAGCCATCTCAAAGGAATTGCTCTGTCCAGGCAGAATTGCGTGTTTCATTCTCAAACTCCGTGGCAGTTGGTGTGAGCTGCCTTGCGTGGCAGGCACTTGTCTGCCCTATCGCAAAGGAACTGGGTCACGGTCACCGGGGCCAAACGCCACCCTGTGGGACGCCAAAGCAAATTTGCCACGGGCCAGACCAAACATCATTGGCTTGCCATGTTTAGTCAGACAATTGGTTGTTGCCTCATCGACTCATCGCCTTATCCGGTCATCGGGTCGGGTCACAAATCGCCAAACGGGCCATAGCCTTCAAAAAGGGCCATGGCCCTAGCAGTTTGCTAAGTGCACAGCCGA